CTTATCCTTTTTTAAAATTTAATCTTTATTGTATTTTTCTCCATTACCATTTACACCCCTTTTACCCTCTCCCCGCCAACAATTGCCACACTGATGTCCGTGAGTCCTTTTTCCTTTTTGCTCACTCCCTTCACCCACTAGCTTCCTCACCAGCTGTCATCTTGCTCTCCATACTTTTATTTAAAATTAAGACTTGTTAGACTGTCCTGTGTTTGTGCCCAAATCTGCGAGGCTGTTGAATATTTGCAGTGGGAGAGCCCTGGTGAGCATTTGGGGTTTCTGTCTAGCCCCAGGACCAGCTTTTTGCTATGTATGAGATTTTAGACAAATCACAGTCTCGCTGGACTTTAGTTGCCTTAGGTCTAAAAGTTCCAGATGAGCGAGAGTTCTGGTATCTTTTCTGTCTCTCAAATTCTATAATATTTTATGATAAAAATTTTATGTACAGTTACTACTCTTTTATTATTTCCTCTCAATTCTGAGAAATATGTCTAATGATTTGAGTTGTATGATATTTCTTAACATCCTCCCAGTTATGGATTCTGGGTGGCTTTTTCAGATGGTGGTAGTAGTAGTTGTTTTCTGAGCCCAGCCTAATGTAGAGTCTTCTGGGTCTGAATGTGAAAACACTTTGCCTTTCCTCTTTCATAAATGCCCAAGTATATTCTGAATTGAGTGTGTGAGTCCAGGGGAGAGTCACTTTCTCACCTCTCCATCTCCGGCTGGGCTCTGGGGTCTCTTAAGTCTGCACCTTTTAGCAGTGGCCTTTGAGGTGCCGTGTAGCTGTCCATCAGTTTATTTCCATAAGAATGAGCTTTTTCCCTTTTGTACCATTAGAACATCAGCTGCAGGAGAACAGCATGTATGTCTTTATTTGCTAGCTCCAAAGCCTGCTTGAAAAATAAAGGATTGTTTTCTCATGAAATTTGGAGGGCTGTTTTTACTCATGTATCATAATGATTGGGCTTTTAAAAATGCCATTTGGAAGTGGCAGCTTAAGCAAATATTTATGACATGTCACTGTGACCCAGTTGAGCATTAGAAAAGAAGCAGAACGTCAGGAAAAGAACAAGACATATTTCTTGGAGTGATTAGTATCTTTTATTCCTTCTCCAAGACTGCTGTGTCATAGCAGTAGCAGCCCCCGTGAGGCAAGGTATGTACTTGGTCATCCCATTTCCCAGAGGAACTGAGACTAGGAGACGTTCAAGGACCTTGTCAGGAAGTGAAGTAGCTGAGTTGAGTCTCAACTGCAGGCTCCCTAACTCACACGGCTGGTGCTCGTTCTACCACACCATGCACATGGGACAGTTGAATGATACTGTGTGTCGCAGATTGTGATGATGCGGGAAACCAGGGAGGGGAGAGGTTGGTGGAGTGGGGTGGTCTGGAAAGGCTTTGCAGAGAAGGACCTTAAAGACTAAGGAACAGCCCAGACTGGTTGAAGAAGGGGAGCGAATGGGGAATTCCAACATGAGGGGAAGCACCGGGACTCTCTTCAGGAGTAAACAATTTTGTTGTCCTAGTTATTACTGGGAGCCTTTTACTTCTCTTGCTGTCTTTTAAGAGTTCCTCTGGCTATCAAAGACTGCCTGATGGACTTGCCTATGCAAGATTAGTGTTCCTTCGTTTGGATGGAGGCCTCAATGCCAGGGGACAGGGAGAGAGAGAGAGAGAGAGAGAGAGAGAGAGAGAGAGAGAGAGAGAGAGAGAGAGAGAGAGTATGTGTGTGTGCGCGTGCAAGCACGAGTACACGCGTGTAAGATGGCCTAGATTGTTTCATGCCTCTTGATTTTCTTTTCTGTTTTAAAGATTATTATGCCTTAAGAGGAGATTATTCAGCTGTTCCCCCATCAGAGAGAAGTGAAATAACACCTTGGCATTGGTCTGGTTGTTGAGGTTTGGAGGGAGTTTCCCCTCCCGGGAGACTTCCTGCATTGGACAAAGGGAACAGTGAAGAACCTACATGAAAAGCCCATGGTCATTTTCTTGGGCCTCACATTCCAAGAAGTTTTCTTGAGAGTTTTTTCACTTCAAGATGTTGAGGGTTCCCTTGGCTGTTACCCTAACTCTACTGAGGAGTATGTGGGGAGAAGCCTAGAGTCAGATGCCGGGACTCCCGTTTGGTGTTTCTGTCTTCTCGGCACGCTGGGCAGTGCTAGTGACGATCACAGCTCCTCGGCAGTGGTTCTGAAGCGGTCAGAGATTCTCGTAGGCTTCATATTTCTCTCCAGAGAATGCCCACCTGATTCTTCCCGACTGTGCAGATTGTTTTAAAGCAGGGCATTTTCTGCAGCTTTATTTTCCATTAAACCCCAGGGCACATTTCTTGAGTTATTGGGCTGATACTGGTTGAGCACATTCTGAGCCCTGGGAATGAGACTTGGATGCTCCAGACTGAACCCTTCCACAGCCACTCATAGGCACCTGCAGGTGTCTAGACAGCCACTTGCCCACAAGGGAGTGTCACAGGAAAGGCGCACAGCGCTGTGGATGCTCAGAAGAGAGAACGCCACACCCTTTTGCAAGGTCTGGAATATCTTTTTAAGTTTACTGCCATTTGACTGGTTGGCATTTGGAATGGGAGATTGGGAGCGGACACAATGTCTGTTGTTACTCCACAGTCAGATTTGGGGGTTCAGTAGAGACGAGTTTGGACTTTGAAATCAGAGACTTGAGTTCAGGTACCACATAGGGAGCTAATAGGAGGTACTGGGGAGAAAAGGGTAGGGGCCGGGAGAGCCTTATTGAGGTCATTTCGAGAAATGCGGGGAAAGAGGATTTCTGTTCCTGGATGATTTCCTGGAGCATTAAGCTGCTGATGGGTACTGCTGTCATCGGGGAGATCTGAGCATGCGGCTCCCAGGCTGGTTGGGACTTTTTTTTTTTTTTAAAGCATGGAGCATTTTATCAGATTATTATTCCACAAAACACATTTAGGGAAATTCTGCCATCAGTAATTTCTAGCTCTTAAATCTGCAAATCTGTGCAAGTGTTTTTGCCGTTAATACAACATCCATCATCTGAGGGGAAAAACAAGTTAGCCCTCTGTTGGGCAGGGCATTTTCACAGTGAGGCGTAGCAGGCAGTAGGCATCGCAGCTGATAAAAAATTTAAGAAAGGGAAAAAGGGATGTGGGCACCACAGAACCCTGTTAGTGCTGAGTTATGCATCCTCAACTTCCACATTTGGTTTTTTACGCACCAACAACAACTGAGTCAAGGAGACATTCGATTCTACTCATTTTACAGATGAATGAGCCAGAGCTCCCCTAAGGGGTGTGCTTGGGACATGCTGAGAGTCAAAGTGAAGTCTGTCTTTGGCCAGAGGCCACGGTACATTCCCAACCAAGTTTTGTGATAGCGCTAAGTAATTATTTTTAACTTTCCGTCTGTGGGGGCCGGAAACAGTGGTTTTTCTTCTCACCTTCTGAGTTCTTCCAGGCGAGGCTAATGACATTAACAGGAGAAAATGAAGTTTTTACTACACGTGCATGGGGAATTCACATTGGCATAAAAACTCCCAAGACAGTGAGGCGACATGGGGCAGATAAGACATTTTGGACAGAGGAGAAAAGTGTGGGTGAGGCGTCCTAGATTTCAGAAGTGAGAGTTACAGGTGCCAGTCCTTGAGGAAGAGGGGAACACACAGGGCAGGCAAGTCCTGGGCAACTCAGAAGCGATGGGACACAGAGCCCAGGAGCCTTTCTAATTATCACACTTAATTCAAGTGAGACTAAGGTGAGCGTGCCAGGACTTCATTCCCGAAGCAGCTTTCTCTGTATGAATCTCTTGAGCGGAGGGTCAAAGGTTCATTCTAAGTCTTGTTTATTAATAAACAGCCTAAAAACAATAACTGGAGGGAAAAAAAGCAGCTTCAGGGTAAAAAAAATCTTTAGTTGTTTCACTTGCTTTTAATTTTAAACGACTGTTACAAAAGTAAGACATGCTTATTAGAGGAAAATAGGTGAGAGCAAAGCAGACAACACCCCAAGGCCTGTCATCAAGTTTAATTTTGGTCAATATGTGACGTGTGTATTTGCAAGTTGTTTTATGCAGTGTTATGTTCATTAAACATCGTTGTGTTTAAATAAGAGCAGATGTATTATTTATATTTAAATGTATATTTACACTTACATACGTTTATAAAATTTTCAGTCCTCCTTTTTGAATCTCCCCTGCAGATGTGAATTGGTTATTGCCACGTAATAAATAGTACATTGAACTCTAGGACTTAGAAATTTACAGCTCTTCAGTGCAGCTTCTTCTTGACCCTGGGCAAGTTCCTTGACCTTCCTGGAACTTAGTTTCCAAATTTATAAATGAGGGAGTTGAATCAGGTCATTGATTTTAAAACCGTGGGATTCCATGAAACGCTCTGTGAGCCGGGGTAGAGGGGTCCAGTGGGAGAGCGGGGGAAACCCTGGCCCACTGGAAAACTACACCTGCGTTCTAGCCCAAGCAGCTGGGCCTGTAATCTTTTTATGGATTTGGGGGTACAAGCACATTTTGGAAAGGGATTTTTTTTTATTTTTCTTTGAAAGAATATGAAATTGTTAGATGAAATTATCTTGAAGCTAAACATTTCTATGGCATCTATTAAGTTGCTGTGTTATGTATCTTTTAAAACATTCTTCACTGGGTAGGATGGTAGATTATGCACACTTGCCGTGTCCTTTCAGGTTGTCCCAGGAAGCACAAAAGATTCACTGACCCGTGCTGCACAGTGTCCAAAGCACTGTTGAATTTTTTCTTAGAAAATACACCATTGAGGAGGCTGGAAAACATTTCCCCTCTAACTTTATCCATCGTCAGGTCCCTGCAATGCTTTTTCAGGGAAGACTAGCCAGGGAATCAGTGGTTCCTCTAACTAATACATATTTGAAAACTGGACTTAATCAATAACTGGTTTTCCATTTTCCTTACGCATATTAATGTTTTGCATTTGAGGGAATTGATCTGGAAGTCCCAGTATCTTGACTTTTTCTCTTGTCTCCACAGAAGAAAGAACCTTGTTGAAAAATGAGCTGAATGAAGGCTTGGACACTCAAGAACCCTGGACAACTGCATGAGGTGTTTGAAAACTGCCCCGACCCTCTCGCCACCCCAGTCTCTGTCATGAGGCCTGACAGGATGAGCACACCGCGGAGGGCCCGCGTCCTGCTCTGTAGGCACGGTGACTGCTGACCCGCCGAGAGCAAGCTGGGGACCGCTTGCTGTCTGCCAGCACAATGAAGGAGGTGGTTTACTGGTCACCCAAGCAGGTGGCAGACTGGCTGCTGGAGAATGCCATGCCAGAATACTGCGAGCCTCTGGAGCACTTCACAGGCCGGGACTTGATCACCCTAACCCTGGAGGATTTCACAAAACCCCCCTTGTGCCGAGTGTCCTCCGACAACGGTCAGCGGCTCTTGGACATGATAGAGACCCTGAAAATGGAGCACCACATGGAAGAACACAAGAACGGCCATGCCAACGGGCACCTGAGCATTGGCACAGGCGCCCCCGCACCTGACGGCAGCTTCAGCATCAAGGTCAAACCCAACGGGATGCCAAACGGGTATAGGAAGGAGATGATAAAGATCCCCATGCCAGAACTGGAACGCTCCCAGTACCCCATGGAGTGGGGCAAGACTTTTCTGGCCTTTCTTTACGCACTTTCCTGTTTTGTTCTCACCACAGTGATGATTTCGGTCGTCCATGAACGCGTACCTCCTAAGGAGAAGCAGCCTCCACTCCCGGACACATTTTTTGACCATTTTAACCGGGTGCAGTGGGCCTTTTCTATTTGCGAAATTAATGGCATGATCCTCGTAGGACTCTGGTTAATTCAGTGGCTGCTCTTAAAATACAAGTAAGTAAAGCAGAAGCTCTCAGATTCAATGGTTGCAGAGTTTGCACTTCAGATGTTTAACATACATTATTTGGAAATGCAGTTTACAAAGCAGTGGAATCAAAGCATATTACTCCCCCACTTTTTTTAAAACCACAAAACCACTAAAGCTCTGGCAGCTTTAAGAAAATGCCATGTTTATTGCCTGTTTCACACAAGATTGGTACAGAATGGTGAACAGGATTGTGAGAGATGCTGTTCTTCTGTTTTCACTTCATGAGAAACCCTCAGACACCTTCAGAGAGTGGAACCACAGATACACTGTCCACTGTTGGTGGGGTTAACCCATCTACAAACTCTGGACAGTTGGCCTAAGCACCTTGAATGGCTCTATAGCTTTTCCCAAGCAGAGTCAGACATCTGGAACCTTAGCAACACACATTTCAGGAGGTTTCAAGCATAGAGCTTAGAGCAGCTATTCCAGAGTGGCTCGGGATATTGGGAAAACAGTACCCTCAGGGAGCGACTTTGTTTAGGCAGGTGCAGTGCAGATGAACCTCATGGCTTTTCACCATCTAGAATGTGTGGCCACTAAAGCAGTATGTGGCTACTCCATCCACATTTCTCAGGGTTTTTAGTAGGTGCCTTCTTTCAGCTTCCAGTGAATCTAAAGTGGCTTTCATATCCCTAGCTCTAAACTCAACATATATCCCCTCAGGCAAGCTGTTTGCTCCTGTTGCGTAGCGAGCACACACCTGTGTGCCTCATCATCACTGTCTGATTTTCCTGTTGCTGGAACTTCTTTACAGCTTCCATGCTTGCAAGTTGGAAACTGGTTTGTTAAGGCACTGAATTTCTCTGTAGTGATTTTTTCTTAACCCACAGTATGGTTCAGTATTGCAGAAATCATCTCAAATCTGGAAAAGAAAATGTAGAGAGAGTTTATGCAGAGCTTGGACAGAAATGATGGGTATTTCCCTGGTATTTCACTAAGGACTGTTTTTTCACCTTATCAATCACATATCTGCATGGGGAAATAAAAACAATTCCTGACTCTGCCAGAACTCTCTCTCTTAATTTGTGTAAAGGAAGTTGTGTAAGGGGCCAATGTTTACTTTCCGGCTGGCTTGGCAATCCTAGACTTTTAACTGAATTTGAAATAGAAATGATGATCTGGCCTGCATTTGATTTGTTGGAAGACCTTTTTGGGTTTGCTTTAGTTTTACTAGGCTAAATAGATAGCAATAAGCTTTAGAATGTGAGATGCTTCGAATTTATTAATTACATTCTTTTGGCTGCCAAACTTTAGTTTCTGTTTTTGACTTTTAAACTTTTAACTTCTAAACTTCTTTTTTTCTAAAAGCACATTAGAAAAAAATGCCAGGATTTTCTTCTCCAAAGAGTCAAAGTCAACTAACTTAGGTATTCTCAGTTTTTCCTAATGTTTGTCGTTTTGTTTACGGGAATTTCTCTTCTGTTTTTTCAGCATAATTTTTCCATGCAGGCAAATAATTTATTGACCCAGAATATAACTTTGGTTAAGTTAAACCACGTATGAGTCCAAATCTTTCACAACCCTGTGACTTAAATAATTTATTCTTGTTCTGAAGAAGTGTCCTAACCATAGGGCTAATTTCTTTACAATATATTACTGTTTATATTTTTCTCAGTAGGGACTTTTCCTCACATCTGTTTTGCTTTAAGCTATATAATTTCGTATTATACTGGTACTTATTGCCAATACTCTAGTCACTTGTATATTTACATTATTCAAAAGCAATGAACCAGTGGATTTTCTGCCTTGGACAAAGTTAACCCAGGGCTGGGGTACAGGCAGCCTGGATTCCCGCCCCAGCCATGGCCCTAACATGCTGGGTGCCGTGGGTGACTGAACCTCAGGAACCTGGTTTTTTTCACAGATGAAATAAGAGCACCTTAGAGCAGAGGATTTCTATTGTTCTGTACAACTATGCTTTATTTTATTTTAATGAGATTGAATGGGCCAAATATTATTACCTACAGAGATTTAAAAAAAATTTTTTTAAAGATTTTATTATTTTTAGAGAGGGAAGGGAGGGAGAAAGAGAGGGAGAGAGAAACATCAATGTGTGGTTGCTGGGCGCCATGGCCTGCAACCCAAGCATCTGCCCTGACTGGGAATCAAACCTGCAATGCTTTGGTTTGCAGCCCACGCTCAATCCACTGAGCTATGCCAGCCAGGTCGATTTTTAAAAATTTTTTTGTCTTTTTGTCCTGAAGACACGTAAGTAACTAGGTATTCTTTAAAGGCCTCTCTCTGGTTTCCATGCTGATGGGTACAGGGCCATGGGAAGTGGAAGCCTTCTGTTGTCACGACAATCCTGAGCATCCCACCACCTGTCCTTCCACTGGGGCATATCCCTTGTTTCCCATTCGCCCCATGGAAACCCCTCTTCGGTGTGTGTGGTACCCCAGCCATGTAAGAGGAAAGAGGACAGGTGTTGTGGGTATTGACAGGTTGCCTTTTCCAGCTCTTGTAGAGAAGACTGAAATGTTCTCTCGTGTTAGAGATGCCTCATTGCAACACAGCATTTCTGTTTACCCAGCATGGTGGCGAAATGGAGACTTCTGGTTATGAAATATTGTGTTGAACAGAAAGGTCACCTCTCTCTCCTTTTCTTCTTGACCCTTCCGAGTCCTGACGCTTTTCCCAGTGTCCACCAGGAGGTCTGCTACTTAGGACACACATCGCACACGACTCCTCGCAGTTAAACCTGTTTGGCCAGTAATCCCTGTTTGGAGCCCTTTAAAAAAGCAGCCTGTTCCTTTTTGCTTCTGTATTTTCTACTTTTTAGAAAAGACTCAGAGGCTGTAGAATCAGAAATGGTAGAGGATGACTTACTGAGAGATGAGATCTCTGGAATTTGGGCACCGTCCCCCCACAGCAGCACCTTCGGCCACATGTTTGAGGTGCTAGGAAACCTCGGTGTGGAGTTTGTAACGTGGTGACATCCGGGTCTGTCCTTACGTTGTCTGCAGTTGTCTTTTACTGGTAAACATAACCTTTGTTTTTGCACTTAATTTTTTTTTGCCTCCATTCTTAACATCACTCCCTCATATCTATATGTATATATGTCTATATATACATATATCCATGTGGAATTTCCATGACATTGCAAAGTGGAAAGCAACAATAATGCCTGTCCTTGAGAACTTTGTGATTTTTAAAATTGTAAACAATGTTGTCTCCCCATTTAGAATTGGACTTTTAAGCCACTGACTAGGAAAAAGTCCTGGGAAATCTCTGCATTTGTGTCAGACTTCACTGCAAAACAGGTATCCCTTGTTTTAAGAAAGCATGATAAAGACTGTGTTAAACTTGCAGACTTGGTGAGGACTTCTCATGCATGGTTAAATTGCGGCTAACACGTGGCACCTCCATGTAATACATGTGTGGCTAGTAGGACATTGTAAACACCTGGCAAGGAGGAAGGCCAGGGAGCAGAGCTGTAGAACTTCCGAGTCAAGGGTTTTCTCACCACCAATGAAACCATTATGACTTAGGATGGTGCTTGTAGACCCTAAAACTCAACTTGGCCTAACACCAGATTTGTCATCTTTTCCTTCCAACTTATTCTTCTGTGTAGGCAGTGGCATTTCCTAGAAACCTAGAACTTCTCAGTTCCTTTTATACAAATACCGAGTTCAGTCAATTCTAATTTCAGATTTATTAGCTCTTTCCATTCCTACTTAGTGATGTATAATGGGTCCTCAGGTGGAGACCCAGTTCCTTAGCCTGAAGCTCGGGGTTTTCATGGTCTGGCCCCTATCTGGCCTAGATCATCAGTAGCTACTTCACTCCACAGTTTCCCTCAACCACTTAAAGCTCTTATCACCTTCCATTCTGCTCCTCGTGTATGTCTCCTTCACTGCCAGATTGTAAGTTCCTCGGGAGAAAAGGCTGGATCCCATCCGTCATTCATCTTTATGCCCCACTGCCCCGTGTAGAGCCTAACACAGAGACAGTGCGCACAGAGAGTTCATCTGTCCATTCAACTTGTACTTACTGGGCAGCCTTCTGTGCGCCAGACCCTGGTGGTGCCGTGGGGAGCAGAGGCTCCGATGCCTCGGGGAGCTTACCTTCCGGCCAGGCTAAAGTCAACAGTAAACAAATGGCTATATGGTACCTGGTAGTGATCAGGGAAATGAAGGAAAATAAGACCTATAATAGGTTAGGAAGTGAGGGGGATAGTGAGGAGGGGTGGTGCTTTAGATGGTGGGTCCGAAGAGGCCTCTGACGGGGTGGCAGTTGAGCAGACACCTGAAACAAATGAGGGCAGAGACCACACAGGTGTTTGGGGCCAGAGCAGTCCGGGCAGGAAACAGAGCAAGTGCAGAGTCCGGAGTCTCTGAGACTTGAGAACAGCTAAGGGACCATGTGGCAGAGGGAGCTGGAGCAACGTGTGGCACAGGGGGTCACAAGGTGTGGACGGTGGATCAGGCAGGCCTTGTCAGCCAGGACTAAAGTGTTTGGATTTGGTTCCAAGTGTGACGTAAGTCCTTAGAGAAGAATATGAGTAGATTTGAATTTTACAAAATCAGTCTCATGGCTGCGTAGAGAAAGGGGAGCATGGGCGGGAGCGGGGGCCTGGTCAGGATGCCATTGCTGTCGTCCAGGTGCGAATGACCGCAGCTTGGGCTCAGTTACCATTTGGCCGGTGAAGACATTGGGTGCCGGGGTGGTGGGGAGGGATGACCTCTGTAGAAGTTACGGTTTCTGTTGCATTTACAGCTAATCTTTTATAGCCTTTTGTGGTAGTACCTCTCTCATGCAAGGTTTTTGGGTCTCTGTGAATCCCTGTGTTTTATATGGAATTTAATGAGGAGATAGAGTTCACTAATTTGGGAGCTTGCACAACTTTGCTCAAATATATTTTATTCCAGAGCAAAGCCGTGTCGTGTGTATATGCTGGTATGTGTTTATACCAAGGCTTTTCTCTTGGATCAGACATTTGCCCAGAAGAAGCAGTGCAAGTCAGTCA